TTTTTTTTTTTTTGGTGGAACCAGGGATTGAACTCAGGCCCTTGCACTTGCCAGGGAAGTGCTTATTCCACTGAGCCATCTCCCTGGCCCCAAGAAGCCAGAGTCTTATGTAATGCCTACTTTTGAGTTTCAGTTTCTCTTATACTCCTTTATTTTTTAGTTAGTTCTCAGGGGTGACTTTCAAGATGAACTCAACTCTAACAGCAAGTGTAATCTGGGAACGGTTTATAGATTTCTTCAAAAGAAATGAGCATACCTATGTTCACTCATCTGCCACCATCCCATTGGATGACCCTACTTTGCTCTTTGCCAATGCAGGCATGAATCAGGTAAGGAGTTGCTCTTTTCCTCTTGGCTGTTTGTCCATAAAGAAGGCAGCAGAGCAGTGATAAAAGTACAGTACCTACCATCAGCCAGAATGGTATTTCTGTTACTTACTTGTGTGAGATTGCAGAACTCTACATTGTGAGCCTATTTCTTTTCTTTTCTTTTCTTTTCTTTTTTTTTTTTTTTGGTGGAACCAGGGATTGAACTCAGGCCCTTGTGGTTGCCAGGGAAGCACTTATTCAACTGAGCCATCTCCCCAGGCCCTGTGAGCCTATTTCTATATCTGAAATATCAAATAATAATGATGTCTGCTTGTTCATTGCAGTAAGTAGATGAGGTAATACATACAGAATGTTTACTGCAGTATTTGGAACTGAGGAAGTGCTTGTAACTCCCCTCTCCATGGGGTGTCCGTACCGAAACCTTGTGTGTCCACTGAACTACATCTCCAGCCCTTCTTTATTTTGAGACAGGATCTTGCTAAGCTACTCAAACTGTCCTTAAACTCAGAATGCTCCCATCAGGCCAGGGATATAGCTCAGCATCACAGCGCCTGCCTGGAAAGTGTGAGGTCCTGAGTTCTATTCCTAGTACCAAAAAAAAAAAGCTCCTGCCTCATCTTGCCGAGTTGCTGGTATTACAGGTGTGTACCACCACGCCCAACTTAACGGGAACGTTTTTTGTCTTGTATAACATTCACTATAAAATCATGAAAAATGTTTTCTTTTTCTTTTTTTTTTATTTATTTATGCGTGTGTGTGTGTGTGTGTGTGTGGCCAGCTCAGCCCACCAGGGGGCAGGGCTGGCTGGCATGTGGTGCTGGGGGATTGAACCGCGGTCCCTGTGCCTTGCTAAGCTTGTTTTAAATAGGTGCTTTAGACCACTGAGCCATCTCACCAGCCCCGAAAAATGTTTTCAATTGTATAGGAGCCCTCTGCCAACATCTAGAGATAGAGGCAGTAATTTTAGGTAGTCGGTTTCAAGAGTGTGGGTTTTTGGAACACTGGAAAGGTTCTGTTGAACTCAGGCATACCTGCACACAAATTTTATCTTTTCTCATATGAGCTATGCTATCGGAACCACAGGTTCCATGTTCAGTGTTTGTAAGCATTCTCTTAATAGCAGTAACTTTGCCTCTACATAGCACTTGTGTGCTATATGCCTCTGAATCAGAGATAGCATTTTTACCTTTTTTAAGCTATTAAATATGGTGCTTTATTAGGCATTTGCTGTTTTTTAGGTACTGTAGAAGGTATGCTAGACACAAAAAAGATAAATACGAAAGTTTTTCAGGAGTTCATGACTTTACATGTGACTGTCTAATAAACCTTTCTACAGTGATGAAAGTATTGTTGTCTTTGCTGTCCAGGTTTGATTATTGAGCTGCTGTGACAAAGAACATAATTTTATTTTAGTTTTATTTGGTAAAAGAAATTGAACTCAGGCTGCTTCAACAAAAACAGTCAGGCTCAGGTTGCTTGGGTTCGATCCCCACAACACAATACAGCCAGTCATGCCTTGAAGGCATTCGGCGTTAAAAAAAAAAAAAAAAAAAGAAATTGAACTCAGAACCTTGCACTTGCCAGGCAGGCGCTGTGCTATTGAGCCATCTCCCTAGTACATGCCCATAACATTTAATTTTCAAACAGTATTCTCCAACAATACAAATAGAGGCAAACAAACAAAAAAAGCTCAAACAATAATTATCAAAGTATGACTTGCTGAATCCTCAGAGTAAGAAAATAGGGTCTCTGAACCTATCTAATTTATTCATCAACTTTTGCTAATTTTACTGCCTGGTTGGGTCTCAATTTTTTTTTTTTCTCCTCCTCACCTTTACTTACAAGTGAGCATATCAGTTTTTAAAATTTGTTCTGAGGGCTGGCCAGATAGCTCAACGGACTAAAGTGCCTGCTTAGGCAGAGTGCAGTGGCCGGGGTTTGGTCCCCAGTGTGCCATGCCAGCCCTGCCCCCAGGGTACACTGAGATGCCAGTTGAGACTAGGTGTGGTGGTGTGCCCCTATAATCCCAGCTCTTGGGAGGCTGAAAAGAGGAAAATCACTGTGAGTCCAATCTACATAGTGAGACCCTGTAGACCCTGTACCAAATATGTTAAAAAAAAAAAAAAAAATGTATTCTTCCAGAAGGATGCTATAGGCCTGGGACATTGGAGATTTGTGAAAAAGCAGCACAGGTTTCACACGTCAGCCTTTGGCTGCTCAGATCTGCCAGGGCTTCCCCTGCACAGGTAGTTTCCTCACAGTGAGGGAGGCCCTAGAGGAGAGAGGCCCATGAAGAAGCTGCTTCCAATGACACTGCTTTTGCTTTGGCTCCATTTGGGCCACTTGCTTCTAAATCTATTCTAGGCTCACTAGGTCTGAAGCCCAGCTTGTGTGTGTGCACTCCTGCTGGTTTGTGGTCACCTGACACAACCTGCAGCTCTCCCCTACATCCCTATCTTACTTTTCAGTTCAAACCCATCTTCCTGAACACCATCGACCCATCTCACCCTTTGGCAAAGCTGAGCAGAGCTGCCAATACGCAGAAGTGCATCCGGGCTGGGGGCAAGCACAATGACCTGGATGACGTGGGCAAAGATGTTTATCACCACACTTTCTTTGAGATGCTGGGCTCCTGGTCTTTTGGCGATTACTTCAAGGTGAGCTCAGCACAGGAGAACTGTTGGGAGTTTTGAGTGAGTAGATCATTTTTGATAAGGGAACTAAGTTCTAAGTTTACTTCTTTTGAAATATGAAATATGATCTAGAAGATAGAAGAATGAAGGACAATTATGAATTCCACAACTGCCACAAAGTAGCACCGATAATTTGTGTGTGTGTGTGTGTGTGTGTGTGTGTTACTGGGGATTGGCTCTCAGTACTGTATCCTCAGTCCTTTTATTATTTTACTTTGAGATAAGTGTCACTAAGTTGCCCAGGCTGGCTTCAAACTTGCCATCCTCCTGTATCAGCCTCCCTAGTACCTCAGTATGCAGCCATGTGCCACCAGACCTGATAGTAGTTTGCTAATTTTACCAATTTAGGTTTCTTGTGCAAATTGATCCTGAATTTGGTTGCATTTATAGTGAAGATACTAATTTTGAATTTGTGTTCCCAGAATCTGATCTTCTTCCTTTCCTTCCTCTCTTTCCCTCTCTCTTCTCTCCCTTCTTTCCCTCTCTCTTCCCTAGTAATGGGGAATAAACAAGTGGTCTTATACCACTGAGCCATCTTTTTTTGTATTTTCTGAGACAGGGTCTTGCTAAGTTGCCCAACCTGGAACTTGAAGTCCTCCTACCTTAGCCTCTGGATTAGCTGGGATTACAGACATAGACTACTAGGTGTAGCTGATAATGCTTTTTGCTCATATACTAAATTGATTTTGGTCTGCCCATGTTGTGTATCTTTTTTTTTTTTTTTTTTTTTTTTT